CATTTCCCATCACGGAAGGGACAGGTAGGACCCTGGGTTTCCCCTCAGTGCGGAAGCTAGGAGTCAGCAGGCTTGGAGTAGAGCCCTGGCTCTGCCTGACCTATTCGTGTGGCTTGGGTAAGTCATTCCAGCTCTCAGCACATTTCCAACCTTGAAAATGAGAGGTGCGGTCTTAACTGGTACTTGTAAAAACAAACAAACAAACACCAAACACATGCTGGGGCAGCACACAGGCCCTGGAGGGAAGACACATCTTGGGACTGGGTGCAAACATGCACAAGACAGTATCTTCTCTGCTCTCTTCTGCCACAGGTGCTTGGGAAGCCTCCGCATGCCGGTCCTCTTTGTATTGCACATTAATCACATCTTGTATTTGCTAGATGTAGGGCAGTGGATAAATAAGCATCTTCCTCTGTTTCTACCCTTTACTCTCATCAGTGACTTTAGGGAACAGATGGCTTCAAGTTTCTCCCTGTCACAATCCACCCATGGGAAAAGGAGCCCACAAAGAGTTCACCTAGAAGTAGAAGAAGCAGGAGCCAGGCCTGCAGACCAGGAGGATGGTGTTCCAAAACCCAGGAGCGCAACCACAGTAAAAGGAGTAGGACGAGAGGCTGAGCTGTCCCGTCCTGGCACTCAGGAAGCCCTCAGAGGCCTTGGTGAGCCGAGCTGGCTGGCGGTGGGCACGGGGGGAGGCCCCACCGCAGAGAAGTGGGTGAGTCAGTGCGAAGGCTGCAGGCTTGTGGCAGGCCTGTGGACCAACAGCAGACCCATAAACCTAACCACAAGGGCTTTGCCAGTCCCACTGGTTACCCAGGGGCTATCGGGAGCTTCTGCTCACAGGCTCCTACAGTCTGCTTGGAGGTCTATGACCTAACAAGATGGTCTTTATCTTCTGTCATTAGAGGAGCAGTGAATCTTGACTAAAAGTGCTACCGGATATCAAAAATCTTTTCCATCCTTCCTGCATTCAAGAAGTTCTTGGAAGCCATGATACAGGGAGGGCATTTGGTTTGGCCCTGGGACAGTGCCCAGATGGGGAGGGTGTGCTGGGGGGTAAAGGCTCTGCCCTGCTGATGAGGAAGCGCTTGCTGCTGCAGGTGCGAAGGAAGGGCTCCTCTCAGGGCCCTGTGTCTGGGGACTCTGAGGAACCTGTGGAGCTGCCAGTTCCTGTCCAGCTGCTTTTCTGCCTGGACCTCATCTGAGAAGTGGTGGTCTTGGTGCTCACAGAAAGAGTCAGGGAAAAATGCAGGGAGCGAGCTCACATGGAGACCCTAGCAGCTGTTCACGTCCCAGAATTCTGCAGGAGAGGCCACTTTAAGTGAGGATGACATGAGGTTAGGACCCCCTCCACCCCTTTACCCCTCCTGTAAAAGGATGGCCTGGCCTTGAGGAGAGGCTTCTGGGCGAACAAGCTTGCTGGGATACTGCATCTAGGCTCTGACGCACCGAGCTCTGGGTCCCTGCATCCTTAATGTCAGATTACCTGGTTGGATTCCTCTTTGGTTCCAAGTCTCCAAACCTGAAATATTCTGTATCCATGGGTTGGATACAGAAGGGCCTAGGGGTTGGGCAGGGATAAGTGCTCGGAAGACAAAAAGGACACAGTAAAAAGAAGAGACAAGTCAAGGATGCCTCTGTCCCTGAGGTACACAACCTCCAATTTTACTGAGAAAAGTCCTGGGGAATTTGTCCTTTTGCTCCCCAGCCCCAGCATCCTGGGTGGTGGAGACTCTTGTTAACTAAGAGCGGCTGAGCTAAGCTTGGGATTCATGACCTCAGGAGGAAAGGGTGGGATCAGTGTAGCCCTTCCTCCTGTTCACCCCACCCCAAGCCCAACCAGGCCTGACATTGTCCCTTGTAAATTCTCTGTCACAGTCAAACCAGCAAAACATTTACAATTTTTATTTTTCTTTTCACAGAAACCCCAAGAGAATAAAACATGGAATAGTCAATCACTTATTCATTCAACACTATGATTAGCCACCTACTATATGCCAGGTGCCATAGTAACATAGCAACAGGGATTAAGGCAGTGCAACTGGGAGGGTTACCCTGGGAGGAGGGCAGCCTGCTGGAAAAGCCAGAGGTTAGGGCTGAGCCAAGGGGTGGGGTGAGGATGACTGGGGAGAGGACATTCCTCAGAGCTGGATGTAAAAATGAGTAGGGGTAGACAGCACTTGCTCCTCATCTGTTCAGCTGAAGCAGTTCCCTGGTGTTTGAAGAAACATCTCTGCTGCTGAGAATTGGCTTAGGAATTTCTGTAGCACCCTTTTTTTTTTTTTTGAAGTTTCATTTTTTGCAGTTTCCCACAGTCAACCATGGCCTGAGAATATAAGATGGAAAATTCTAGAAATAATTCATAAGGTTTAATTTCATGTCATGCTGAGTAGCATAGTGAAATCTCATGCTGTCCCACTGTGTCCCACCCAAGATATGTACGCTTTGTTCAGTGTATCCACAGTGTACATGCTACCTTCCTGTTAGCCAGAGATCACTCAAGAGCTGGCTTGATCATAGCTCAAGGGATTCCATTCCACAGATGGAATACTGGAGATCATAGTGCTTGTGTAGGGTTCTGTACTGTCCACAGTTTCAGACATCTACTGGGGGTCTCCAGACCTAGTGCCCTGCAGACAAGGAAAGACTCCTGTCCCAAATAACAGGTCTTTCTAGCCTTTAGCTCTCTTGCTTAAGACACCTTCATCAACACACCCAGAGAGCCTGGGATACCATTAGCCTCAGCTGGGTTTGGTGGCAATCCCTACAACCTAGACTCCAGTTTGGCTTGACTGTCTGCATCCGAAGAGCTCATTTCTGATGATGAGGATCTGGGGTGGGCTCTGTAGTAGCATCCAGAGTATTGAGACCAAACTGGAAACCAGGTCAACTGATTCTACAGGCTAGAAACTCAATGAATTTGAATTTCAATGTGAGTGACCCCTTGGTGGAAGTTGTAAAGGCACCAAAGTCAGGGATGAGACTGCTATGCTGGGGGAGAGGTACTAAACTTTCAGAGGTCTAATATTGTGGGTGATTTTTTTCTCCCTGTACTTGGGATTGAATATATGGCCTTAGGCCTGCTGGACACTCTACTACTGAGCTACACACTTCCACCCTTTTCATTTGATTTTGAGATGAGGTCTTGCTAAGCTGTCCAGGCTGGCCCGGAACTTTCCATCCTGATTCAGCCTCCCAAGTAGCTAGGATAAAAAAAGCATGTACCAGCATGCACGGCCTATTGATGGTTTTAAATAGTGTTATTTCAGTTTTATTCTTGGACAGAGTGATGACTTCCAATTCTAAATTCACTCTGAGCACATTTCTGATTGGTTTTTGTTTGTCTAGAAAGGATTTAGAGAAGGAGTAATTAAAGAGATTGGAGCCAGTGGGGAAAAGACAGAGGAGACAGGCGGAACTGAACAGATACCAGGAGCTGCTCCTGCCTGCAGGGACAGGCTGTGGTTGTGAGAAAGGTGTAAAAAGGTGACTACTGGAGGCACTGCTGGGGGACAGGCCTGTCACATTGCAGCTGCGGGAAAGCCTGAACTAAGGGGTGTGATACAGCACAGGATTTGGAATCAGGAAATTTCTTTTCTTTTTGAGTCTTTGCTCTGAAAGAGAGGTAACTTAACTTTGAGACTCTGGGAGAGTCCCCTGACTTCTTTGTGTCCTTATTTGTAGAATGGAGGCACTAACCTTTTGTTCTTAGCACTAGCCTGACCCCCTGCCCTTGTAGGAGGGCCTGGACCTCTCTGGGTGGGGACTGGACCTTATAACCTTGCCCTGCTAGCCCCAGAGCTGGAGTATGGCCAAGGGTGACCAAAGGCTTGAGACTTCTGTACAAGCAGTGAGCTGCACGGTCCAACTCTTCGTGAGAATGAGAGGAAACCGGGGCCCCTTGATAATGGTCTCCAGACATAGACTAGGAGGTGGCACAGGGTGGGTGCCATGCGGGGTTCCTTGCCAGCTGAGAAAAGGAGGGACAGAAGGAAGAGAGAGCAAGAGCCAGGTCCGGGGCCAGCTTGCAAGAGCCCGCAGAACACAGCTTCCCATCCTCCGGGTCCCTGAGACACTGGCCTTCTCGCCACATGCTCCGTGTTCTTCTGTTTTTGGAAACTGTCACGAGCCAGGCCGACCTGGAAGAGCGGCTGCCCTGTGTGGATAAGCTCGCGCTCCCTGGCAGCGCCGTGGCCCTTTACCTGTCCCCCTAACCCGCTGCCACTTCTGACTCAGAGCTGCTCATCGCGTCGCTGGCCGTCGCTGGCCGTTGCTGGCAGCAGCCCTTGTGCACCGTCTTCGAGCTTTCTCTGCCATACCTGGTGACACCTGGCATGTGAGACAGCCCCAGTGACTCGGTGACACTGGCCACTGCTGCAAATGGCAGGGTCAACTTCAGCAGCTCCCTGCTCCCCACTAGCTGTATTCATTCTCTTTCCCACCTAGCATACCTCTGCCCCGTGACTTCTCACCCAGGGCTTCTGTGCTCCACCTCGGAGGGACCCTTGGGAATCCCCAGTGCCCAGCCCTCCCCAGGGCTGCCCACTCCCCTGGGCTCCCAGCTCCCCAGCCGAGTGCCCACCTCTCCAGCCTCGCCTCCTTCACCCCTGGTTTGTGCCTTTTGGCTTCACCAACAGAGCTGGCTGACCTTGACCGGGCTGACCTCCCAGCTACTGTCCCTGTTTGCTCTTTTCTGCCTCGAAGGCTGTGCTCATGCCATCTCGCCTGGCCCCTACCTCGAACTCAGGCAGGCCAACACCTCTTCCTAGACACCCTGGGTCTCTCCAGGCTGTGCCACCTGTGTTCCCAGCGCCCTCCCTCTTATCAGAGGCCCCACCTGGTTATCATCACGGTTCACTTGTCTGTGTGCTCTGAGAGATGGTAACAACTTCAGTGGCTTTTTTGTTTCCCTAGGAAAATGGAAAATTTGTCTAGAAATCAGGCATCCAGCACAAACCATGTTTTGTTTTGTTTTAAACTGAAAACCCAAACGTTTGAAAGGAAAACATGGATCTCTTTGAGGGCAGATCAGAGGACTTAAGATTGGTAAAGGACAGGGCAGAGTGGAATTGTGCTGCTTGGTGGGGGGCCGCACGGGCCTGGCCACGTCAGAGCCAAGACTGTGGAACGGGTGCCACTTCTCCAGGGCGGTCAGGCGTTGCGCTGCCCTGGAAACCGGGCGCTCCCCGACGGGCTGAGGTGGCCCTAGACATTTCGAGTCCTTCGCAGAAGAGCCTGGAGCAAAGGAGCCTCGAAAAACCCGGGAGCAAGGTGAAGGCAGCCAGTAGATGTTTCCGTACGCCCTAACTTCGGTGCGATCAGCAGCTGCCCAAAGACCATGCAGGAGGATGGGGGTGACCCCGAAGGACCCGGGGCAGGCGCCCGTGAGGACTCGATTGCCCCACCCCAACCCTTAAGGCGCCCTTCGAGAGGCCAAGGACCGAAGCGAGCTGGCTCGGGGGGTCAAGCAGGAGGCGCTCTCCGCACGTCTCCACTTCGGGCTCGGACCTCAGTCTCCTCCTCCCGGCATTGGGCTTTCGGCCCCCGCGGTTGGGCGACCAGATCTAGCCGGCCCACCGGCGCTCGCTCCCCTGGGAGCCGCCCCCGGGCTCTGGAAACGACGCGCCGCGCTCCCTCCCGCCGCCGCCGGGCCGGACGTGAAGGAAGCGCGAGGCGGCCGGGCGAGGAGCTGCGGCTCG